AGGAGGCTGTCAGTTAACAACAGCATCTGTTTGGTGGGAGTGATGGAAGGAATGGGGACAGCTGACTTCTACCATATAAATTTCTGCGCTGCTTAACTGTTCTTTATGTAAGAAGCATGCTTTCCTTGATAAGCTTTTCCCATCACAAACCAGTCTTTAAAATAACTTAATAAAAAGTATTTGCTCTGTGATCACATTTAATAAACGTCTGTTTTGTTTGGAGGGGAGGGGTTGTTATGGCCTGGGCACAACCCCAGGGCGTTGCACACAAGGGGCAAGCAGAGGCTCCATCTCTGAGCTGGGTTTCCAGCCTTCAATTCCAGTGCCCACTCCTTTTAGGGTGTTGTTCTGTGTGATACAGGATCTCACTGTGTAGCTCACGCAGACCTCAAGTTCACAATCCTTCTATCTTGGCTTCCCAAGCACTAGGATTACAGAGCCACCATGCTTTATCCAGGGCTTTATCCCCTCACCCAGAAGTCAACTTCAGCTCCACTTAGCTTTATGTGCAAACCTGCTTGTGTGGGATTTTTCTCCCAGGCATAAATCACTGGCCACAGTTGACCCGAGGGCACATTTATCCTCTTAAATATTCTGTGTCCTTTCCAAAACACATAATCCAATCATCTTCTAGCACCCGCGTGCGAGACATTATATAAAACTGCATCAAATTTAGCCGCATTTATTTAGCTCTCTGAGAAAGGCAATCACACTTTCCTTTCCCAAGACACAACTAACCACACATGGCACACTTTTCCGTTAAATAGCACATAAGTTATTAACATAAGTGCTCAGTGTGTTAAAGTGCATGTGTGCATGGAAGCCCACCTGACCGAGTGAGAATAAAGGCTGGCTCAGGGATGCCTGCCTTGATCATTCCTCCAAGTCCTCTTCTTCTTCCCCCTTTTCTTCTTCTGAGACAGGTCTTTCACAGAACCCGGAGCTCACCTTTTCTCCTAGACTGGCTGGAGAACAAGCCACCAGGCTCCACCTGGGTCCATCTCCTCCCCATGCACCACCACACCTGGCTGCCATTTGTGTTCTGAGGGTCCAAACTCAGATTCTCACTCACTTCCTCACTGAGCCATCTTCCTGGTCCCTTTCCTAAGTCCCTCTCAGACAGAAGGCAGACTCCCCTATGGAGCAGGGTCTGCTTCAAGTACTTCCTTCTCCTTTAAAATTTTCTTCTATTTTGAAAACTGTTCTCTTTGTCATAAGAGTCAGGAGCTCTCAGAGCCAAACTTGTAATTGTGAAGGACCTTCCTCTCAGCTGCCACCAGGTAAGCAGCAACAAGCCTCACAAGAGGAATGGTGTAGACCTACAAGGCTGGCCAGGGTGCAATTCTTAGCGACCCTTGTGACTCTGAACAAGACCTCAAGGAGACTGAGGCATCAGGCAAGCCAACCCTTCATTTCACACAACTAGGGAGAGCTGAGTGGCCCAGAATAAGGCCTTGGTCACAGGTCACAAAGCAAGTTACTGCTATCGCCAAGTTCATAACTCAAATCTTTCAGCCCTCGCTGTTTCCAAGACTACTTCTTTATAAAAAACGGGAGGCAGGCCTTGGAGAAATCAATACTACTACTGCTGCAAACTAGAAATGGCCTCCCCTCTCTCAACAAGTCTGAACAAAGGGAAAGAGGGATCAAAACATTCCCAATAGAGAAAAGAAGTGTAGCAGGGGACGCTACTAGGCTCTCGGATTTATCCTGCTGAACCCCACAACACCAGAGCATGGGGCGTCAGATGAACTTTCTTAAGCCTTCTGAAGGACTTACGAAGTGAGTCTATATTCTAACTAACACACTTGAGACTGCTGGGAAAGACCTGCTGCTGGCAGGAAGGAGGAGTTTTCCACTTGTAGCCAGGGCAGTGCTGAGAGGGAACCGGGTAAAGAAAAGAGCTTAACTACTCCAAAGGGGGCAGAGAGGGAGAAACCGTGAGCTGGTGACAGAGGAAAACGAACAGGGGTACCAAGAGAAAGAAAACCAGGACTAAAACGCTGCATAGACAGACAGCAGGATAAACAAGGACAACAGGGGAATAGCTGTGACTAGACCAATTCTGATATTCTTTAGACTTTTCCTTTAAATGTAAGTCAGCTGGTCTTTCTAAGTTAAAGGTTCAAACACGTGCGCCTGGAGAAGCTTCCTCCGCCCTTACTGCAGGGTGCCAGGGAGTTCTGATGACAGCAGGTCTTCACCTGTCAGCATCGAGTCGAGAGCATGAGCATGAGCAGACAACTGCTCTCTAGTGTTTCAGCTATGAAATCTCTCCCTCCTACTGGGCAGGACTGCTCCAACAACCCAACGGTCCCAGAGTCAGAAGCTAGCTCAGGGCTAGCACACAGTACACATACAAAAGCTGGAACCTGAACGGATGACTTTCCGGTCACCCAAAGTGTCTGCTTAGGTGGTACCTTCTCTCTCTGCCTCCCTCATGCAGGCTCACACTCACGAGTTGTGGAAAAGCATAAAGGCTGCTGTTTTGTATCAGGCAGTCCAAACACTGTGGTCTATGAGATAGAAACTTGGAGTAGGCCCCGGCCCGGGCAACTGTTAAGCCTCAATCAGAGCTGTCAGGTACAGGCTGACAGGCCCCACTTAACTCCCTCCTCCTCTCCTACAGCTTCTGCAAAACTCACTGATGCTTGTTGTTCTCCACTGGATCAACCTGGAAGCACCCGTCTCACTGAGTACTCTCACCACTTGCTTCTAACTCACTCACCCTTGCCTTTGATAATGGATTTGTCGTGTTTTTAACTCCTTCTCATCTGCCTTTCTCTCATCATTGTGACTAGCCAAGCTAGAAGTCTTAAGTAGCATTTGCTGAAGGGCTGTGCTTGAGTCCAACTCTCAGAACAACCAAAAAACAAGCACACTGATGGGGTTTTCTGCCCTCCAACCCCCGAACTCAACACTCGTATACACAAGCATGAAGAGTCCCCTCAGTAAAAGGCTCTTCAACACGCAGCTTCACGAGTGCTCACTTCCTCAAGTCCTTCCTCCCCGTGTGAGGGATGTGCAGAAATGCCCGGCTTCCTCCCATTCCTACCAGTTTACATCTGAACTCCACCTCCTACTCCAGTTGAAAACACATGCTCTTCATGTAAAGCAAGCCTTTCCTTTCTCATGTCCTAGAGTTCAGTGGAGGACACCTGTCAACTGCTGAACTATTACAGAATCTGTAATCGAGTCTGAATTTCTTGAGGACTTTTCTTATAAGTACATAATGGTCTTTTATATGAGGAATTTAATCTATGTAACTGACTTGTTTAACAATGAAGGGGCAATAATTTTAGCTTCTCTTTTTTTTTAAGCCTTTTGTTTGTTTGCTTTTTATTTTGTTTTCATTTATCGAGACAGGGTTTCTCTATGTTTTGGTGCCTTTCCTGGAACTCACTGTGTAGACCAGGCTGGCCTTGAACTCACAGAGATCCACCTTCCTCTGACTCCAGAGTGTTGGGATTAAAGGCGATTGCCATCACACCCGGCTTTTTAAAGATTTTTTTTATGTACGTGTACATAAGAGTCAGTCATGTATACGCAGGTGCATCTAGAAATCAGAAGAGGACGCTGGAATCTTTGGAGGTAAGAGTTACAGAAGGCTGTCAATGACCCAACATGGATGCTGGGAAGGAATTCAGGTCATGTGGAAGAGCAATGAGTCGTCAACCTCTGAACCATCTCTCCAAGCCCTGAATTTAACTGAAGAGTGAACCACAGGGTTGGAGGCATAGCTCAGTACTTGAGTCTTGCCTAGAGCCCGCTAACACTTGAGTTTGGTCCCCAGCACAACTTTTAAGAGGTGCACCATAGATTTGTCCACCGGCCATCATCTATCTGTAAGGCAGTCACTCTGTGTGGTCCTGTGGCCTGTAACCGTGAGAATGTCCACTTACTTCTGTGTATGCCTGGTCCAAGAGGAAAATGCTAATTTATGAGGCTGAATGTACAATCAGTAGCACAATCAGTAGCTGGGTCCAACCCCCAGCACTAATAATAGTAATAATAACGTGCTCATATACAATTATATGCACTCCAAAGACAGGGTACCCAACCCTGTGTTCAATCAACTTTACACTGGATGAAGAGGTGAACCGATCATCCTGTGATCAGTGAACATTCTACCAACATCCTTTGGCAAATTGAAACCTGCTTAGCAAATAAAGGCGACTATTTTGTAACTCAATCATGTCAGGGCATATTCACTTTATTTCATTAACAAATAAAGTGAATAAAAGTGAAATAGTATGAGGTGTGTATGCGCTGGGCTTCATGCAAGCTAGGATCTTCTCTATCCCTACGATACATTCTTAGCCCCTGTGGGACTTTATCGATTAACATTCTTAAACATTAAACAGCCACTTCATTTTAACTTTGCCCAATAAATATGCGGACAAACTAACCTGCGAGTATCTGAGTCAGGAAAGGTGTCTCTAAGAATATCTTTGAAATTCCTTTCAATTCTGAAGTTTCTAAATTGACAGTTCAACCATAACCTGCCTCTCTTTACGAGTCCACTGCTAATCTGGACTGGCGGGGGATGTGCAAAGGCCCACACATAACAAAAAGTTACCGGAAAGCTCCGAGAGTTACGCACGAACTATATATAAAGAACTAAACTGTGGGACACTGCCGGCATGAAACGAAAGCTTTAGTTTGAGAGCTTAAGAAATCCGAGTTACCCAAGTTCTAATTAACCCCTAGCCTAGTAAAAAAGTCAGCTCCTCTTAACTGTACAGAGGCAAGTTGGATTCGACACCCAGATGTGCCTGCCAGATGCGCAAAGTGGGTCAGCACTTCTCAGCCAAGGGACCTTTTCCCTACAAGTGGTCCGGTTTCAAATCACACCCGCTTCTCTAGAAGGAAGCGCGCCAAGATCCCCGGGCGTGGGAAGGAGGGCGGTCATCCGCGCTCACTGGAGCACGGGTGGAGGACCTTCGGCCGCCTGGACGCGGGCGTCCCGGGTCCCGCCACCCCAAAACGCACGCACTCACCCACAGGCTGCTGAAGTAGTCGAGGCCACGGCAGATGAGCGCGCCCGCGTGCGCCAGCAGCACCTGGACGCCCAGGTAGCTGCCCAGGCAGTAGAGACCGTAGAGCAGCGGGCCCCCCGCGCCCAGCAGCAGCAGCAGGCGACGGCGGCGCAGCGCCTGCTCGCCCAGGGCCTCGACGCCGTAGTCGGCGAAGCAGAGCGGCAGCAGCAGCGCGGCCAGCACGATGGGCGTGTGCGCGCGGTGCAGGCGGCGCAGCCACAGGCGGCCCAGACGCGTGAGCGAGCTCTTGAACGGGTGCAGGAAGGTGCCGCAAAGCACGGCCCAGAGCAGCGGCCGCAAGAAGGCCTCGAGGATGAAGTACACGAGCACCGCGGCCCCGCAGCACAGGCACACGAACAGCACCGCGCCCGTGTTGTAGAAAGCCTGTTTGATGGGCTTATCGAAGCGCAGCGCCAGCGCCGCCGTACGCGGCATCTCGCCCGGCCCGGCCGCGCGCGGGACCCGAGGCTCCGGCCGGGGAGAGCCCCGCGGGCTGGGCGCTTCGGGAGCGCAGCCACTGTCGGCCATCGCGCCTCTGCCAGGACCGTGGGGCGGGGCTGCGAGCTGGCGGAGGACCGCGGGCGGAGGCGGACGGTGCCGCGAGGGCTTGTGGGGTTTGTAGTACTCATACTGCGGGCAGAACATGCCCTAGAACCCAGGGAAACTACAACTCCCAAGAAGCTGAGCGCAAACGCCTCCGCCCTCGGGCCCAGTGGTCCCTCGGGGACCAGGTAACAAGTTTTGTGACGGTCCCAGAAAACGAAAAGTACGGGGACACAACACTACAAACCCCCTTCTCTGATTGATTTCAACTTTTCCGGAGGCAGGATCCCAAAAGAGACGCTTTCAGAGATGGAAAACACAAGCCTGTGCTCTATGCTTTGAAAGTATTTCTAAAACACTGATGCAGACTTAGTTTTATTGATTTATTTAATAAATACTTATTTTTAATCGTGTGTATGCAATGTGTGTGGGTGGCCAAAGAAGCCAGAAGCGCTAGATCCCCACTGCTAGAGTTACAGGTGGTTGTGAGCAACTTGACTTGGCTACTGGGACTAAAACTCCGGTCTTCTGGAAGAGTAATACATGCTCTTAACACTTTAAAGTGCTCTCTCGTGTACATGACAGGATTTTAAGCAGCTGTTGCCCTGTGACAGTCTCTAATCAAGGAGGTTGGCTCCTATCATTTTATCCTGAGAACATCCCTCCAGAGACGTTACTAGTCTTGTTTTACAAATAAAGCACAGAGAATATTGCAGAACGATCACAGAGAAATTAAGTACCTGGCCTCATACAGCTGCGAAGTGGGTGAGTTGGGGTTCACATTATGAACCCTTATTGTGTAGCTCTTACGTTCTATGCTAACTGATCTGAACAGGGGATCCTTTGGCTTCTATGTGAAGCCCCTTAGAGAACCATAATGTGCACCCACGATTAACTTTCTAACACAGAGTAGGAGCCTTTGGGAGCAATTTAAACGCCTCAGAGTGTGTATCAGTGTTTAACTGCCACTATTTGCTCCCCACTGAAGTGTTCTCTCTGGCAAGGGATAATGGACATCATAGTTCTTTTGGTTGTTGTTGTTATTGTTTGTTTGGTTGGTTGGTTGGTTTTGGTCTTTTTCGAGACTGGGTTTCTCTGTGTAGCTTTGGAACCTGACCTGGAACTCACTCTATAAATCAGGCTAGGACCTGACACGGCAAACAATATTCATAATCCTGAATAGGAGCTCACGTGTACCAAGCAGGAGAAGAAATGAGTGGCATCCTTTCCCAGGAGCCTGTATGTGCTTACTGCATGATACTGAAACCTTAGTGCAATGGTCCTCAACCTTCCTAATGCTGCAACCTTTAATACAGTTCCTCATGTTGCGGGAACCCCCAACCATAAAATTATTTCATTGCTACTTCATAACTGTAATTTTACTACTGTTGTAACTCGTGATGTAAATATTTGATATGTGGGACATCTGATATGTGACACACACACACACACACACACACACACCCCAAGGGGTTGCAGCCTACAGGTTGGGAATCGCATCCCTAGAGCATTCCTTTGTTTGCAGGCAAAGTTAAACAACTGAGATATAGAATTCTAAAGTTGTGGGGGACATAGCAAGAGAAGGCCACACCTGTGTTGAAGATGTGCAAGGCTGAACACTCGATGAGAACACTCTAAGACCTTGTGGTAACAGAGTGTTAGAACTGCAGCTTTAGAGCCAAATTATCATGAGTTATTTTTATTGCCACATCCTTTTGACCATCAGATAAAACCTTTAGCCAGAAGGTGGTGGAGCACACCTTTAATCCCAGCAATTTGGAGACGGAAGCAGGCAGATCTCTATGAGTTCGGGGCCAGCCTGGGCTATAAGAGCTAGTTCCAGGACAGGTGCCAACGCTAGAGAAAGCCTGTCTTGAAAAAATAAATAAATTAATAATAATAATAATAATAATAATAATAATAATAATAATAAACTTTTAAAATGTGTTTTTGGCAGCCTACTAGCTTTCAACCCATCCAAAAGCTAAGAATGCCATCAGAGAATAATTAAATACATGGCAGAATTTTCCCTTCTTTGATATAACTTACCTGCCTATAGCCCTACTAAATGTTTTTGGTTAATGCCTTAACTTATGACTTTCTTTGTCCTTTAACTAATAAAATCTCTTGTAACCACTTCCATGCTAGGATATGTCTCTTGGGGCAACCTGAATACATGTTCCTAGGCCATAGGCACTCACATTTTGCTTAGGAAAAAACTGTGTCTTATTCCTTTTGAAATGAGTGCTGTGTTGCGGGTTGATAGGACCTAAGAACTAAATTTGAGAAAGGGACCCAAGTCCACTCAAATCTCAAGCTCATGGGCATCAGCTCTAAGGTAGCTCCTCCAAAATGCCATACTTCTTAGATTCTCTTTGGTGGCATCTCATGACTCAGAGAAGACCAGCTGCCTGGGCACCCCGGATGCAGTGGAGAACCCTGAGACCAGGCTGCGCTTGGCCTTCCAGTTACATGAATCAAGGTATTTTCTCATCGTGATATTTGTTGCAGTTACTGTTTTTGGCCCAGGGCATGGTGAGACCCTGAAAGTAGCTCTCAAAATGCTTCCTTGCCAAGAGTCCTCTCTTGCTGTCCCAGACACTCACCTTTATGACTACAGCAATCTCCAAGGTCAGCATTATGTCTCTAACATTTCTAGGATATGGTAGAGAGGGGCTAAATATAATCACAGGTATGTCTGCCAAAGGAAGAAAGGGAGATTAAACCACACAAAAGGAGACGGTATACCACATACAATGAAGTCAGAGCTCAGACTGGGAATGCGGGAACCTATCAACAACTCTAGTTTATAAGTCTAGATAGAAACAAAATCTAAGTCTTCTTCTGTGCAGCCTCTGGAAGAAAAATGCCCTGCCAACATCTTGATTCCACTGAGATCTCTGGCCACCAGAATAGTGAGACAATACATTTGTGTTGTTTTAAGTGACTGACTTTGTGGAAATCTGTTGCAGACATAATAGCCTTGTCAAATGCAGGTGGAGTCATTACACATCCTGCTCATCTTTCTCCTTGCCTTGCCCTCCCCTTTCTTGGAGATGCCTCTGTCTCCCCTGCCTGTTTTGGTCCATCTCTTAGTCTTAGTCATTTCGGGCTGCTATCCCAAATTACACTAGACTAGACGGCTCAAATAGTTGTAGAAGTAGGTGATTTGAGGCCAAGGAACCTGCACGATCAAGTTCTAGCAAGGGTTCTCTTGTCCCTAATCCCATTTTGACACTAATCCCATCAATAAAGGCTTCCTCAGCGCCACCTAGTCATACACACACACACACACACACACACACACACACACACCTGTACGCTGAATCCCCAACAGCTATCACAGTGGAAATTATAACTTCAGCATAGAAATAGCAAGGGAGGGCTGGAGAGATGGCTCAGAGGTTAAGAGCATTGCCTGCTCTTCCAAAGATCCTGAGTTCAGTTCCCAGCAACCACAAGGTGGCTCACAACCACCTGTAGTGGGGTCTGGTGCCCTCTTCTGGACTGCAGGCATACACATAGACAGAATGTTGTATATGTAATAAATAAATAATTAAAAAAAAAGAAATACCAAGGGAATGAACACAGTCCCTGCACAGTTTATATCTTAACTCAACCTCAGTATCCTTGCTTCCATTCCTGGTGGCCCTCACACTCAGGGAGGACCCTGGCTCTAGGTTTCAACTGCGTGAGAGCTTCCCCTTACTTGAAGCCACTGTATCTTCTCAAACCAGTCCCAGTAGAATCAGCAGCTCAGCCACTGCGATTTCTCTTCTTTCTCAAGACCAGTAGACTCTACAGCTATACTCTACCTAGTCTTTTAAAACTACGTTTAGTTACTTAGTGTGTGTGCGCACACACACAAGTGCATGGAGGTCAGAGGACAACTTATGGAGGTTGGTTCTCTCCTTCTACCATGTGACCTCTGGGGATCAGATCGAGGTCATCAGGCTTGGCAGCAAGTTCACTTTCCTACTGAGCTATATCATCAGACCCTCTACTTATTAAGGGGTACTATGGTTTAGTCACCATTAAGGACTTTAAGTGAAATTCCTAAACCCAGATACATGCAAGGAAGTAGTTAATATACTTGAAATGGGAATCTACATCACCATTTCCTGCTTGATAAGGTACCAGAATGAAGCTTCTGCAGAGTGAGTTTTGTATATTGCTTCTCTATAAGGACTTTCGGGTAACTGAAGCAATAGGGCTTTCCTGCTTGTCCAACAAGACAGATTGCCACCTTTCCCAAGGTCTATAAGGATTCAGGGGGAAGGGAGAAACATTTTACAATTAAATATCACACAAAGGAAAAAAATAACAGAAACGTGCAACAGAGCAAAGCAATAAGGAATTATAAACTAGTTTTAATTACATCAACAGGAAGAATTCAAATTATGTTGAGAGTTTATGCCTTTAAAGTTTAATCCTGGTTAATATAGTCTGAGTATAACTTAATCCTCTAGAGATAAAAGTATATGCGGTGGCCAGTGAACAGAATAATCATCTCAGTAGCGGTTAGGAGTGTTGCTACAATTACTTTACATAAATAGAAACTCATATCTTTATTAGTAATGTGGCACACATCTTAGAGTAAAAATCCACATAGGACAGGCTTATAAATATACATTTATATATAATCTCGAAATCAATCACAATTGAACATTAGATACACAACTTTTTATAAAACAAATATAACCCATCCGTGTCTATTTAAAGGCATAGTTTTAACAAAATAGTATTTTGTAGACAGTCTCAGAAAAACTGTATTAGTACTTCTGGAGCCAGATTGTTCTGGCATGTCAATGCGCCAGTGGGAATAAGGCATGTGGAGAAGCTGCGTTCACTCTTCCGGGGTGAAGGGGGTCAGGGCATTCTAGGCAAGAAAGCAGGAAAGACTCTAGTGACCTGGGTGAATGCCACACCCACTGAGCATTCAGCAACCTTAGAGACGATTACATTCCAGAAGAATCAGCCTGGGTGGTTACTCACCTAATAGCAAAGATTTGGAAGAAAACTAAAAATACTACCGACCAGTTGGTGTATTCTTAAATGGGACACACACCCCCAAGGCTAGGAGATTTACATACATTTTTCCATTGCCAGGCATATTGAGGCTCATATTTCTTTAACTGCTATTTTCATGAAAAGGAAATTATATGCAAGTCATCTGCTAAATTAAAAACCCAAGGAAATCCAACTTGAAAGTAGACAAATTGCTCACTGAACAGAGAATAAGAAAACTAGTGCAAGTTAAAACATGTTTAGGTTGCCATGAAACATGCCAGCTACTTAACTAATGTGAGTCTTGGCTTCTTAATAATATAGAAAAGTTATATTAAACAACGATGCATATACATTCTTTACAATCCATATAATGGTGAAAAGGAAGAGGCAAGACTTAGTAAGTGATTCAGGAATCCTTCCTACAAACTAAATTGCTAAAAATGCAACGTAAGTATGTCAGTAACACAAATGATGTTTTATCTGTGGGTTTGAAAGTATACAAGAGATCAGAAAAAGAACTAATCCTGTGTGTGTGTGCGCGCGCGCGCGCACGCATTTGCGCGTGCATACTTGTATGTTTTTGTATAAACACACCCCACCTGTCACATATGTACAAAGTGTATATACATATAAACAAGTTGAAAATAATCAACCTGTTCACTAAATGTGCGGCTCTGTTTAGAGAGTAAGGATGTCACCTCAGCACACGGCCTAGGGTGCTGAGACAGACGTGTCACATGTATAAAAGACTCTCATGCCCTTGTGCTAATTTTGAAAAATCTCTACACAGAGAGAAATTACTCTAAAGCATAGCAATGTTTACGGAAAGAGCAGCTCAAGAGTGAAACATGTTAACAACTGCCAGACCGCAGGGAAAGCAGAGCTGGAACTTACCCAGAATGGTTCTTTACTGTCACCTCATTTGTGCCAACTCCAGGAAACATATGAGAACACGAATGCATAAGGATGCCACTATGCTATTCATTCATAACAGCAAACCAATTATAAACCGTGTTTAAACGACGCTTTCACTAACTCTGATACTTTTACAACTAGCTAATAATATGTTACTGGTGATAGGATTTATGACGACTAGATAGACAGAATGCCATGGCTAAGTCACTGTGGGAAAGCTAGAGTCTACCAGCCCAGCCCAGCCCAGCCCACTTCCTGTTGTTCTTCAGCCTGCAAACTAAGAATAGGTTTTTCCTTTTCTGAAAGCTTTTTTAAAACTCAATTTAACATTTTGTCATCTGCAAAGTATATGAAGTTCAAATTTCAATTGCTTTATTAATGTGCAGCATTAATAAATTTATTAATTAATTAATTTATTTATTTGATAATTAATTTGTTCACTTATGAACTGTTTGTGGCAGAGTAGAGCATCTGGGACCCCTTTACAAAGAAAATTTAAGAAATCCTAGGATAGAGCCAAGAATGGCATCCAACTTCAGCGCTAATGTCACTTAAGACAAAAACCTGAATAAATACAGTAAACTTCGATTGCAATAATCGTATTAATATACTGGGATGGAAATCCATCCATCAGTTGTCAAACTTTCTGATTTCTTTAAGGACAAAAGCAACCAACAGTAACAGAATGCAGCTTCAGGACTTTGAGTGCATGTTTAACTACAGTGGGTCAATAAAAGCACATGGAGGCCCATGTTGTAAGACAGACGATGGTTTAAGAAAGTCATGTTTAAAAGTTAGCTAAGACAAATGCATTCTTCCAATTGTGTCCAATTGACACATTAGTATGAAAACATTAATAGTACTAAAAATGAGCTGGGGATGTAGCTGGGTGGTGGAACACCCCGCGAATATCTACAAGGCCTTGGGTATGATCATCAGTACTGACCAAAAAAAGAAAAGAAAAAGAAAGGAAGAAAGAGAAGAAAAGGGAAGGAAGGGGGAGGAAGGAAAGAAAGAAAAAGTACTAAAATGACTGGCAAAAATAATCCAAAGGTTTTAAGCAGAAAATAAAGTGATACAAAACCACTGTGTTGAGTTCCGCAAACACAGCTGTAAGAAGTGCTCATTTTCACTGTAAAATACTAGGGAGCAGGCGAAGGTGCCCAGCTGATTTGAGTATGAACAGCAGGTTCTACTTAATGGAAGTTTTAAAGACTTTGCATGAGGCATAGGAAGTCATATCAGCTCCCTCGTCCCTGCGGCCTCTTGCACGACAAGTGCATTGAGCTAGCGTCTCTAAAGTCTGGCCAGCACTGGTAAGCTCGCCAGAAGACCGACCTCAACTCTTCCTTCTGCAAAGCTGGATTGACAACAGACGCTTCCTCTGGTTGGTAGGATTGAAAGAGTTCATCCACATGGAGCACTTACAACAACACTACATACATCTGTCTGCCGCTCTTGTTTCACTTGGGCATCTCACCAAGAAGCATTGATCGCTTCTCCCTCAGGACAAACACTGTGTAGAAAATGAAACCATATGTCAGACCTGGGGGGTGCATGCTTGAGAGAGCAGCAGCCAGGAGTCAGGGGGCTCAAGAAGGATGACTGATAGAGAGAACGAATAAAGAGCAGGAGTTCCCTTAGATTAGGTAAGAACGGATGAATTCGAAGTCTACAGGGCTTTCACTTCGACATGTCTATCAGTGGACAGATCTCTGAGATGACAGTCAGCTGTTTGTGACACATCCCTTGTCGTAAATCCTTATTTCATGACAGCAATTATTGTTCAAAGTGCCAACTGGTGTCCACTGAAAGGCAAAACCACACTGCCACTGGGGATATTGTCATTTATGTTTTAGAAGACACGGTTTGATCATGAACAGGACATATAAAAACATTGGCTAGCCAGCTACAGTCCATAAAAGAGATTCCTCTGGCCCAAGTAAACTCGCAGTATCGAGACAGCTTTGTAATTCAGTCCACCAGTTTTTTGAATATCTACCAAGAAGTAGCATCAGTTACAAGGATGAGGAGAGAAATGACTCCTAATGAAAAGCCCAGCATGCTAGAGGAGAGCTGAGTCACTCCTAAAACCACACAGTCCCCAAGACTGGAGGAAGAGATGAGAGTTAGGGCCTTACAGATGAGCCCATCATGGGGGAGAGGGGATGGGGAAGATGGGGACAGAACAGGTGAGAGAGGGCAGGTTGGAGAAACTCAAGGCCGCTCAGACTCGCTGGGACAGGCAGTGACCCTGAAGAGGCAGAAACCCTGGAGTTTAGTAGAGTCACTGCACGTCACTGTAAGGGCAAGGATAACTCTGAAAGTCCCAAGCAAAAATTCACAAAGCTGGTCACTAAAATGGAAACACTATAAAAACAGTTACTTGATTTGAAGTGGAAATGGAAGGGAAGCACCACTCGCTCCCACTACTAACTAAAGTCTCTATTAGCTCCGCGATTTATACATCAATTACTATACACATAGAGGATATAAAAATATTAGGCTTCTTATTTACAACACGGGCGTCTCTATATACTCCCAACCCTCACTCCTAAGCCAACTACTAACCCTGAGAAACTGATTTACTGGCCATGCTTGTGCCAAGCTTGACCAGGATCAGAGAGAGGGCTTGGTGAAGAGGCAGTTGTCGTCAGGTGAAGCCACCAACTTGAACCTTGAGTTTGAAACTGGGTGTGGGCAGTGTCGCGAAGTAGTAATACATACTTTATTTTGGCGCCAGCTCAGAAGAATCTGAACATTCTCCCCACAGGCAGTCGTTCACCTCTGACATGAACTTGGGACTTAGAAACCATAGTCCGGTGTCACTCAGCTATAGAGTTGGAGCCAGCCTGGAAGCAATGGGAACAAATCAGAGAATTCTGGAAAGCCACGGTGGCAATGGCCCCACCGTGTAAGTGCCCACAGTTACTCTCCTCTAGGTAGGCTGCCAACATAGGTATTTAGAGAGTATCTGGCTCTTTTCAAAAAAGAAAACGTAGAATTGAACATTTTTAATGTATACTCTTGGTGAATTTACTTCAGGGTCCCTCCCCCCATTTTTGCTCCTGGTGTCTACAGTCTTTAAGCATGATGATGTGTGTTTTCCTTAGGATGACTTGTCTGTCCTAATGCATATTAATTGTAGTTAATGGACGCCGACTTGACCACCACCGTTGGCTAGAGCCACCCAGGAACACCTTAGTTGGTTGAACACGGTAGCAGAAGGAAGCAAATTCTAATTGCGAAGAATTCTCCTGTTTTTATCATTAAGGGAATTTTACATCTTCAGGAATATTCACAGTTCTTTTTTTCATCTTTCCTAACAGCAATATAAAACTGTTTTCTCATAACTACTTGCGAATTGGGAAGATACTTTAGATAAATACAAACCACGGCTTATCACTATAATCTCCCCCGTACGCCCGGTCCACTGTGTGACTATCTAAAAGCACTTAGCCTTCGCGGAAATGTTCTCGAGAGGCTGCTGATGCACTTGTGACATCCTGTGAAGTTCTCCACGGCAACATGCCAAGTAACCCTCTCGTGCAGGACCGCTCGAAATAAAGACTGTTGGGAGACACTCTTTTCCACAGCTAGATCTTTATCTCCCCGTTGTTTCAGCTGACCGCGCTAGCCAAGGCTGTGAAACGTGTAGGCCAACAAAAGGCAGCCTTTGTCTGGGTTTAAATCCCAATCAGTATGACGACTCAGTTTTACCAAAATGCACAGACACCGTAAAGCTCAAATAGAAAACATATTTGAAGTGTTCGCAAACGGTTTAAATACTTCCCGAAAGCAGGGTTGCCTTGACAATCCTGTTTGACTAGGAGAAAAGCTTGTTCTTTTTTTTTCCCCAAAAAAATGTTGAAATCATGACTTGTTTTTAAGTAACAGAAGCTAGAATAATACAGGCGATATTGAGAAATATATACTGAAGGCTTGCCGCTCCACCTAGTCTTGTCGGCCTTGCAGCTGTGGCTAAGGGGTCCCCATCAGCAAGTAGAAGGTCAGGGCGACAATGAGAAGCAAACAAAACGGAGAGGAGAAGGTCTGGTAGGCAGCCGACGGCATGAAAATGTCCTCGTATTTGTAAATACTGACAACGCGCTCTGAAGTCGGTGGGGAGTCTATGTCGTGCCTGGTGATAGAGCCTTTAACACAGAAGCAGAGTGAGGGCCAATTAAACGCAGCACAGAGTTAAAGACAGAAACACTATAGACGGGCTGTCACTGCTGAATACATACACCATGCTTTAGATGTGGAATCATGCATTAAAGTCATCAGTAGCGTTCTCTGCAATTGCTCAGACCACAGAGAACACAGAAATCAATTATCCTTACTCCCAAAGATGGTTCTTATAAATCTGCAGACATCTCCTCCCAAATCTCTCTCTCTGTTCTGTGGCCACCAGTTTTAATATTTATATTTTCACAAACTATATGGATTTCTATTTGCCTCTAACAAATTTAAACTCCTCAATAGTGGATAGTGTAAAATCTTTAAATTTTTTAAAAGATTAATTCTAATTTTAATTGTGCGCATGTGCAAGGGCTAAAACAGGATGCTGGATCTCCTAGAGATGTAGTTACAGGTAGTTATACAGTTAAGTCACCTGAGAATGAGTACTAGGAACTGAACTTGTGACCTCTATAAGAACAGGGTGTGATCTTAACCACTGAGTAACCTCTCCAGCCTCAGGGGGGAAAAAAAGAATCTATTTTTAATACAAGCAGCAAATTTAACTAATTCTGCCTCCTCAAATCTTTGGCGGAGCAGTGAACCCAGGGTTCATGCTAAGCAAATGCTCTATCACTGAGTTACCTCCACAGCCCCAAATCTCGTTGATATGAATCAGGAACTCTAGTCCAGACCAATGTCTCCCGTACAAATGGAAGAGCCCTCTTTCATTGTGCACTATTAAGAGCTAGCCAGTCTTTGGCTCGGGAGACGGCTCAGAAGGTAAGAGTCCTCCTACAAGCAGGAGGACATGAGGCCCTAAATTTGAGTCTTCAACACCCATGTAAAAAGCCAGGCATAGTTGCGTGTGTGCATAACCTGAGCACTGGGCCATCAAAGACAGGGAGAGTGGTCAGCAGCCCAGCATAATCGAAAGGCTGGTTCCAGTTCAGTGAGAGACTCTATATCAAGAAATAAGGTGAGTGGGGTACTTTAATCCCAGCATTCAAGAGGTAAGTGGATCATAGTGAGTTCCAGGACAGCTAGGACTATGTGAAGAGACCCTGTCTCAATTTAAAAAAAAAAAAAAAAAGGCAAAGAGTAATAAAGGAAAACAAACTTGATATCTTACTCTGAGCTCTAATCACACATCTGTACACTCACACTAATGTATCACAGGTATGGGGAGAAAAGGAAAGAAGGGGAGGGCAGGGCAGGGGAGAGGAGAGGCGAGGAGGAGAGACTTCCCTAGCCAAAAGAAATGGCCATGCTGATGTCAGTGATTTTTCTAGAAGCGTGGAGGAGAACAGTTTGGAAAAGAGAATGGCTAAGGTAACAATGAGATGGAACTTTTCTCAACGTGGCCACCAGAACAACAAAGGAAGTCCTGTGTAAAATGCTTAAGGACCAATGACAAGATCAGCAGCAGAGAGTTCGCCTCGCATCTGAGGACCTCAGGTTTAATCCTCAGCACTGAAGAAATAAAATGATAAAAAGAAATGGTAATAAGCCATTTCTTCCACGTTAAGTGCTATGGTACACATTTGAAACACATCTGTAGTTGCCACTTCCAGCAAGGCTAAGGCAAGAGAACAGCTTAAATCAAGAATTTCCTTTTCATTTTTTTTTTTCTTCAACTCAGGGTTTCTCTGTGCAGCCCTGGCTGTCCTCAAACTCACAGAGATCCACCTGCTACTGACTCCTGAGTACTGGGATTAAAAAGCAAGCGCCACGATGCCCAGCAAGTTTTCTTTTCTTAAAAAAAAAAAAAAATTTAAATGTTTAATGAGGTAAAGTTGATTAGGCATGACTGACTTCCTGGAAAAAAATATTAAAGCTGGGTTAGGGAAACAGGCATGATAGGTCAATGCAAAGACTGCCCTAGGACTAGAGCTCAATTAGGGTTTTTTGGAGCATTTGTTCTTGTCACACAATACCCAGCTTGCCAACTTTCTTTCACTTTTACTTTGAGATAGGATCTCACAAAACTTGCCAGGCTGGCCTTGAACTCACTCACCCAGTAACCCAAACAAGCCTTGAACTTGTGATCTTTCCTTAGAGGCTATATCAACAGGGCGGGTTTGCACTGAGTGGGGGGGGGGGGGGCTTTACCGTCTTTCAGGAAGCTCCACCAGACCCAGCACAGGGAGCATCAGCTGCAGTTTCTGCTTGCTACACAAAGTCTCCCAGCTGGCAGGGAGATCCCCTTCTGCACGGGGGTCCGTGCTCACCACACCTTACTCGCTGGCCCTTGCCTGGCCTCTTGGGCTATGCCACGCACCTCCAGTTCATGGTTTTCTTGGGGGAAATAGAATCTCTAGTCCTTCAGGCCTTAGCCCAAAGTTTATGCTAAGAGACAAGACTAGGACTGAACAGATGCTAGAGGAACTCCTGAGAAACCAGCAGTACCCAGGCCAGCACATGGGGTGGGAGGGCTCAGTTTGCCTGAAAACAACGAGAAGAGGAACCTGGAGGAGCTTATCAGGCAAAGCCAGATGAATATGAAACCCTCCACATTGCAGATGTTAGACTCCAAAAAGACAACCTTCTGAACATGTGAAAGTCCCCATTATCCAAGGGGCCTCTCTCTGCTTTCAATGATAGTCAGCTGCAGCTCAAAAAGGTAGTATGGGATAGCAAGATATTTTGAAAAATATTGCATTTTATATGACTTTAATATGACTTCATACTGTTATGACTGCTTTATTAGTATATTATTATTATCTGTTATTATTGTTAGCATCACTGTAAACCACATACTGAATTCTAATTTATACGTTATGCATAGGGGTAAATGTGGAGTTTCAAGTAGACATGTAAGTCCCAGTAACCATCTCCAACAGATGAAGCGGGACTACTCTACAGTATTTTTCAATCTGCGAAAGCAATTTCACATAATTATTTTCACCCACTAGCTATAACCTTAGAAAATGGGTATTATTATTGCCCCCACTTTAGGTATAAGGAAATGAAGTTCAGATTTTAGCTAACAGGTTACTTAGCTACCAAGGGGGAGAAGCAATACTAAAACCACACACTTTCAGATTCCAATCTTGTCGTTTGAAATGAATTCATCTCTCCAAGCTAGATTATCATTTATTTCCCAGGATACTAAAGGAACTTGAAGGTATCATTGCAGATCCAGTGGGGTTACTCTGGGAAACCGGCAAACGGAAAGGTGCCACCAATCTGGAGGCACCTGACTCTTTTCCCAGCAGGCAACGGGTGAGAAGAGAAGAGGAGAAGAGGGGATTGTGTACTTTGAATCAATGGAAAGAAATCTGGGGGAGGGGGCAGCTCAGCTAAAGCAACACAAAGCTGTCGAAGACACAGTAAAAACAGATGTTGAGGGCTGGAGAGATGGCTCGGGGGTTGAGAGCACTGACTGTTCTTCCAGAGCACCGGGGTTCAATTCCCAGCACCCACATGGCAGCTCACAGCTGTCTGAAACTCCAGTTTTAGGGGATCTGATACCTTCACACCAATGCACATGAAATAAATTCAAATAAATTATTTTAAAAAATAAAAAATAAAAACAGATGTTGAGCTGGGTACGGTGGTACCCATCAGTAACCCTAGCCACTCAGGAGGCGGAAGTGGGAGGCTTGCTCTAGCCTGAGCATCATAATAGACACCTGGCTCAAAGAAAAAGAAAAAAGCAAGGAGGAAAGGTAAAATTCTTAGCAGCCAGAGTGAGAGAATGAGTTCTCTCCACAGGACGGCAAACCAAACATACCTCCACTCTTGGTGAGGCCACTGGGCCCCGTGACTGCGGAGAAGGCTCACAAAATCACCTGACTTACGCAGCCTCTAGGTCTCTTGTAATTGCCCTTGGATCTGCGGTAGGAAACTACGGGAGAACTTTGCCACAGGAAGTGACATCATCCACAGCCCAGCATCATCAATATGGAATCTTGACCCCCACTTCTAATGGCCGATGACTTCATTTACCAATATAGCTGGGGGATCATTATGTATCTTAATATTTGAGGATTAGTGGGCTAAAATATAGGGTATTTTGATTGATTTGTGACCATGGGAATACATATAAAATAAGGATGAATGCTTACTGTTAAGCTCTAGAGACCCTTGCCTCTTCAGTATTTATTAAAAACGATGATGGGTAAAAGACTTCACTGACTTTATGATCTGAAAGACCCAGAATTGAGTTTGTTGCTACCATAAATTAGTTGTCTACCATGAGCAAGTTTCTCGTTCTTTGTAAGCACGAGGGTGATGCTACCTAGACCTCTGCAGGAAGGGGTGAGGAGCGAATGCAGACGTCTGCGCTCCACGGCAGAGGTATGGTTGCTTCGTGAAGCACACCCTCACCCTACGTGGTGTCACACACTCTAGCTGTGCGTGTGTGCACTGTGTCAGGCGCCCCCCCCCCCCCCCCCCCCCCCCCCCCCCCCCCCCCGCACTGTCAGGTCTCTAGAACCTTCTGAAGGAAGGACTCCTATTCCCTTTTCCTCCTAAATCCGACCGAGTGCTGTGATGATCCTGCCCCTGCCGTGTGACTCCGCTAACAGTTAACAGCACGCATGCGCACGGCGGTAACTGGCGTTCAAGGCAGAGGCTAAAAGGGAGGCTTACCCTGAATGGCCGGACCCCAAGCGAACAGGTAATACCAACTCAAGTGTAGATCCACGATCGTTTCGTCTCTGGGAACATTCACGGGACGCTTAAACCTGCAGGTGACACGATTGTTCTCGAAAACCCCTTCCTCGTCTCTGGCAGGATTTCTCTGGACCTCCTTCGCCCACTGTCCCACATTGTAGAAGTGCTGGATGCGGACTCTGCCATTGTCATCATGGACGCAGGCCATGACATCATCACCGCCCTAGCAGAGAGAAAGGTCGAGAAGAAAAAAGTTAAATGTCTGCCTTCTGCAAACGTTTCACTGAGAAGTATACATCCTATATCCTCTGTAATTAGAAGTATCATACAACTTATTTAGAAAAACCATTAAAAACCCTTAAACCAGGACAGTGAGGTGGCTCAGCCAGTAGAGGCAAGGTGCTTGCCACCAAGCAGAATGGCCAGAGTTCGATCTCTGGTAGAAGGAGAGATCTGCCAGCTGTCCTCTGACCTCCACAAGCACACCATGGCATGCATACCTCCCTCACAAACAAATAAATACGTGAGGTTTTTAAAAATCCTTTTTTTTTTTTTAAAGTCCTAAATCAGTGAGCAAAGCCAGCATCTATGGCTGACATCTGGGCCTTCCCGCTGCAACAGCTGGGGGATGCAGGCCTGCAGGAGACCACACACAAAGTATCCTGAGGAGTCCCACCAGGCAGATCCACCCTGAAGCTCATCCTAGCAAAACAACCAAACAAAAGTTCAGTTATGGAAAACTTCCCAAAGTATTTAACTAATCCATTCAATAATTTAAAAGCACCAGAAGCTATTACAAAGTGAAGAAGGCTGATGTCACTTGATCACTAAATGCAATGATGTTCCTAGGCAGGATCTTACGGACCAATGACATTTGGAAACAATGTATCTGGCAGGACTAGCCTATGGATCGCCAACTCTCTGACTTTAATGAGTAAACCATGTAAGGAAAGACAGGGTCCTTGATTTGAAGAAAAACCTCTTAAATATTTAGGGTTAAAAGGTATCTGTTATATACCCTTGAAGTTTCCAGAAAATATGAATCATAAAGGAGTTAACCAGCAGCGGAAGCAGCACTGGGAAAGAAGAACACATGGACAACAAAATGCTGCTTGAGAAAATGCTCTGGAACCAGGAAACGGTGGTGACTTGGCAGCAGCGATTGTGATTGATGCCACTGAATTATTCACCAGAAAATGGTCAGAAGCCATGCATTTCTGGCACACACTGCTATGACAAAAAAGCTAACAGTTGATGCATCTGGGACGAGAAATGGAGACCGAGATGGGGTAAGGGAAAAGATTTTGGGGAACTATCTCTGTAGCTTAGTTGGAGGTTTAACTATTTTTTTTCCTTTAGAACAAGTTACAAATATTAAAGTCTGGCTGACTGTAGGAGGCTATGGATGGCAGGGGAGGCACTGTCTGGAGCGGAGCCTGTGAGGCATGCCATTTAGACAGGAACCCAAAGTTGCCGTTAAAAAAAAACTAATTTGAAAACCATTCTATAAAAATTCAAGGTTATTAAAGAGGGAATACACATTGCTCTTATTATACATCACTGAGTTTTTGTTTTTAAATTTAATTTATGCTTCAGTGGAGAGAGGAGAGAGGAAAGGAGGGGCTTCTTTATAAGAACTATCGTGACATTTGAAAGGCTCCCTAGTCTGCCTCTGTTACCTGAGCCCTAAATCAACCTTCCTCCCTTCCTTGTCTTCAGAGAGGGGCTCACTATGCAGTCTCACTATGGCCTTGAACTCATGTTCTTTTTCTTCTTCCTTTTCCTCTTTTCTCCTTTATTGGGTTGATTCTCAGGCCAGAGCTTGGGGTTGGCCTGCAAGGCCCTCAGCACAGCCCCACGCCCTGGCCACCAGAAGAGGCACAGGCTGATTTTAGGGGCTGCTCCTTTGCTTCACACCCTAGGGAGAGAAAACCCAGTGAAGCCATGACAGCGAGAGGGTGCAGTCACTCCACGTCCTGAGGTGGCGACAGTTAGGGACTTCAGGAAAAATAGTTCCATCATGTACAGTGCGGGCAGCTCGTATGTCAGGGGTGCTGGTGCCAATGACTTAGTTTCAGGGGGTTAGTCTATTACCATTGTGTGTGTGTGTGTGTGTGTGTGTGTGTGTGTGCGTGCGTGTGTGTGTGTGTGAGTGTATGAGTGTGTGTGTGTGTGTGTGTGTGTATGTGATGTGCCACATGCCTACATAACGAGGCCTTTATAAAACCTCCAAAGAGGATGCTGGAGAGGTGGCTCAGAGGCTAAGAGAACTTGCTGCTGTTGAGGGGGCCTGGGTTTGGTTTCCAACAGCTACACTGGACAACTCTCTCTCTCTGTCTATCTCTGTCTCTCTCTCTGTCTCAGTCTCTCTCTCTCTTATACACACACACACAAACTCACTCACAATTTTCAAAAAAATCTTCTTAAAACTCCCAAAGAAGTGCTGGGGACTTGACACAGTTGGTAAAATGCTGGCCTTGCAGTCCTGTGTTTGGATTCCCCTACCCCATGTAAAAAGGCAAGTGTGGTTGATCATATCTGTAATCCCAGCAGTGATGAGAGGGACACAGAGATAGGCGAATCCTTGAGCTCACTGGCCAGACGGCCTCGTCTACTTGCTGAAGCTCCAGGCCAGGGAGAGACCAGCTCTGATAAAAGGTGGTAGTCGTCTGAGCAAACACCCGAGACTGTCTTTGACCACCACACTCAAGTGAACACACACGCATGTCCACATCCACACGTACATGTACAACTACATACAGAGACAAAGAGAGACAAGAGATGGAGAGACAAAGAGAAACAGAGACAGAGATGGACAGACACACATGCATCCGTGTGTGTGCGCGCACACACACACACACACACACACACACACACTGCACAGACATATAAAGACACACAGAGAGTAGCTTGGAGGATGAGACACCCTCAGTAGGCATGGTAGCTCCTCCCTCGCTCCCCCATGCCTTCTCTACATATCTCTTGCATCTGGCTGTTCATTTACTTTGTTTTAGCATCCACACTATAAACTGGTGCTGGAATTTGGATCTTAACTGTGTCCCAAAGGTCTCTGTGTTAAAGGTTGCTCCCAGCCTATGGCACTATGGAAGGGAGTGGGAAACACGAGGGATGGGGCCTAACGGAAGTAAGTTAGGTGGTAGGTGGCGTGCTCTTGGAAGCAGACATTGGGACTCTGGTCCCTCCCCCATTCAAGGTTAGATTTCCTCACCCCCACAGACTTTCTATCACAACCAACTATCTTAGTCCCGGGCCCAAGCAATGGGGCCAAGCAACCACGGATGGAAACCTCTGAAGTCAGAGCCAGAATAAACCTTGGGGTTGTTGCTGATGAGCATCTACCTGTCTGTTTATCTGTTTGGTTTTGCTTATTTGCTCAGTGGGTGGCTGCGTTGGGTGATGGAATGCAGGGCCATGCGCATGCTAAGCAAGCTGAGCTATATCCTCTGCCTTTAAAGCCTTTGGAAAATGAGTTGACGTAATGTAGACCTGGTGAGCACAATGAGAAAATCAAGGAGAGTTTTCGCCCAAGTTCTGGCGAATGAATGAAACTCAAAAGGAAGTCACAGGGACTCTGCCGTGTATAGTCAGTTTGTTAGATTACAACCTGGAACTTGAAATTGCCATCAACAAGGGAGCAGTCTTGAACTAAACCCTTACTTTGTTACATCTGACACTCTCCACATAGATTGTGTTAGAACGGACCGAGGTAGAGGATGCGACCTTGTGTCCATTGGAGACTTGCCTGGTGCATGCATGTACGTGTGTATGTGCGTGAGTGTGTGTGCGTGAGTGTGTGTGTGTGTGTAATGGGGTAGAGGAGTGAGAAATATCTGGTCGCAGAAGTGTTCTGTGTTGAGTGTGTGTGTATAAATGAAGAACACTTGACTCTCTTACAATGGTTCTTCACCGCCGCCTCTGCTACGATGAGAGCCTTGGTGGCTGCCCCTTCCAGACTGACTGAAGCACACACAGGAAGTCAAACCCAGTTCCTGGACGACAGCCAAGCCCAGCTGAGCCCACAGAAAACAAGCTGAGCCCCAGACAGCCACTCGTGTGAGCAAGAGACATAAAACAATGGGCAAGGGATATGTAGTTTGCAGCATAGTGTGGACAGAGCTGATCACTACGTGGAGCACAAGACACCCTGTATCCTAACAACCAATCTTTCCACTAAAGTTTGTTTGAATTAAAAAAAAAGTTACTTATTTTTATTTACGTGTACATTTACATGTGTGTGCCCACATGAGTTGATATGTCATATACAGAATGTGCACTGCGTGCAGGTGCCCACAGAGGCTGGGGGCGTGAACTGCTTGATAGAGGTGCTGGAAGCCGAACCCCGGTCCTCTCTCTGCAAGAGCAGTATGTGGTTTTACCTACTGAGCCATCTTTCTAACCTCTGAGTTTTTCAAACTTGCAGTTAGAGAGTTGTGAACAGCACAATGCATCTACTTCTCTGATTAATACATTTGCTTCCAAAATCTAAAGAAGAACAGCAAAGAAAAAAGGCAGCTTCTGTCATGATGTATGCCTTACCATCTTTTTGTCTGAAGAGAATCCAACTGCTACCCAGCCATCCGTGTCTGCGCTCAGCTCAAACTCCACATCAGCCCCTATCATCCGGTAGCTAAGGAAGTAGTCACAGGTCTCTGCGTTACAGCCGGGCTTGCCATACCTGGAGCATATGCCAAAAGAGACATTATTGCTTCTGCGCAATTCAAATGAGAAAAGAGGGCACCTACTGTGGACCCCGAGGTTGATGCCATTCAATTGTTACTCCCCAGGATCTCAGAAACACAGGCTCCTCAGGATGGACCATGGGTAGGAACCTCTCTACTTTTCATGTTAACTGAAGTCCAAAGAAGGGAACGGGCTCAACCAGGTTGCATAATGAAGTCAGTGCCTGCAACAGGACTTCAACTGGGTCTATTTTTCAAGTTAAAAATTTGTCTGGTTTTTCTCACCAGGTAGTGGTGGCGCACACCTTTAATCCCAGCAGTAAGGAGGCAGAGGTAGGCGGATCTCTCTGAGTTCAAGGCCAGTCTGGTCTACAGAGCAAGTTCCAGAGCAGCTAGGGCTGTTACACAGAGAAACCCTATCTCAAAAAAACAAAATAAAACAAAAAATTGTCCAATTTTTCTTAATTAAAATGTATACCAAATATTTTTCCTTATAACTTTTCATAGTTAAAATATCATAGATTTAGAAATAAAAACAGAAATCTTGAAATTTACAGTATTTGTGTGGCAACTTTCCTGGAAGTGTTTTTGTGCATGGTGCAGCGGTGTGTCTGATTGCCCCAGTAGGAGCTTTCTTATTCTTATTGATATGGAGTGATGGCCCAGCTCCCGCAATTTAATGTCTTGGTATGCTGCAAAAGCCACATTTGGACAAATGCATCATGTAAAAACCTCACCCGGGATCTGCTGAACACAGAATGAGATTTATTTATAAAATGTACATGGTGTTAATATAATCACAAAGGCAGACACAAAAACAAAACTGTAGCGAGCTGCGTGGTGTCACACCTGATGGAGATGTATAATCAACTCCTGAGATGGCTAAGGCCTGACCTATGCTATGATCACGCAATGATTATCAGCTGCCTGCATATGCGTGGACCTATGGGCAATGCCCACCTGGCAATCCGGGATTGGCAGCCCATGCTTACTTAAGGGCTGGAAGAGGTTTGCCCGGGAGGAGAGGGAGAGAGAGAGAGAGAGAAAGAGAAGGAGGAGATAGATTGCTGTGAATAAAGTCCTGAAAACTGCTGCAAGAAGAGCTCCCGGTGTCGCGTCATCCTTGCGGGTCGAGGGTGGGACGTGACACAAAACAGTAGAAGGTCTTTGGCTGTATAGGAAGAGTCTGTACACGTTCATCTTTTAAAAGAGCAACTCCAAGCAGGACACAGAAATTTCAGATTTCTTACAGAGAAACAAGTGGGATGGCTCAGTAGATAGGAACAGCTGCCACCAAGCATGGTGACCTGAACTTCCTCCGTGGAGCTCACGTGCTAGAAGAGAAAGGACTCCAGCAAGTTGCCTTGTGATCTCCATATGAATGCCATGGCATAAGTGTGTACACTTACCTGTACATATGTGTCCATAAAGACATGCACAAAAATAAATGTAACAACAACAACAGCAAACTTTACAAACGGCCAGGCGGTAGTGGTGCACGCCTTTAATCCCAGCACTCCACTCGGGAGGCAGAGGCAGGTGGATCTCTGTGAGTCTGAGGCCAGCCTGCTCTGCAGAGTAAGTTCCAGGAGAGCCTGGACTGTTTCACAGAGAAACCCTGTCTCAAAAAAACAAAATGAAAGAGAGAGAGAGAGAGAGAGAGAGAGAGAGAGAGAGAGAGAGAGAGAGAGAGAGAGAGAGAGAGAGAGAGAGAGAGAGAGAGCAGGCTGAACAAGCCAGTGAACAGCATTATTTCATGGCCTCTGCTTCAGTTCCTGCCTCCAGGTTTCTGCCTTACTTGAGTTCCTGCACTGGCTTCTCTCAATGGTGGACTGTGATATAAGCCTTTTTGGCTATGTCTTTATCATGGTGATAGAAAGTGACTACGAGCCGGGTGGTGGTGGCGCACGCCTGTAATCCCAGCACTCGGGAGGCAGAGGCAGGCGGATGGGAGGCAGAGGCAGGCGGATCTCTGTGAGTTCGAGGCCAGCCTGGTCTACAAGAGCTAGTTCCGGGATCAGCACCAAAGCTACAGAGAAACCCTGTCTCGAAAAACCAAAAAAAAAAAAAAGAAAGAAAGAAAGTGACTACGACAGCCTCTTTAAAGAAGGAAATGCCCAAACTGAACACTAACCAAGCGTGGTGGTGCATACTTTTAATGCCAACATTCTGGAGGAACTGTGAGGAGATTATCCAGAATTCAAGGCCAGCAAGACCCTGTATCAACAAACAATCAAAACCTCTGGACACTGGGTTTCTATCTGAGTTCTCCATAACCCTGCTGAAGTTACAAGGGAGACAGACCAATGTGCCAATGCATGAAGGTAGAGAAGCCAGTCCATTTCTGAGCCCTAGTTGTCAGTCGCAGCTGTACCTACCTAAAGCATCCTTTAGTTCTTCCGCAGTCTTCCACTTTGATTTTGGCAAACGGGTCCACAGGAGGAGCAGTGGGGAAAGGATAGCCTGGGTGGTGAAAATAAACCGGGGTCATAAAAATCCAGTAACAGTCTTTACAGTGAGAATCCTAAAAGCTGCATTGGCGATTTTCCGTCATCGTTGTTAGCCACGCTTAGGGACTTAACGAAGGTCCTTGATAAAGTCGGAATATCCCCCCTACCTGAGGGAGTCCTTCGGACTTCACCTTAGGGCTCTGCGAAGGAGTGTGTTCTTACTTCATTTTCAAGCAAGCAACCAGGGACCTTGGGTGGGGACCTCGTTCTACATAACCACTGGCTTCCCACTGCCCCCTAGGAGTTAGGAATCTCAACTTTAATACACGCACACGCTCTGGAAGGAAGACAGTCGACAAAGGCCCAGGCACTTGGGCGATTTCACTCAAACACAGAATGGATGTTCTGTTTCATCTCTCGGAACTGCCACTTACCCATGTGCTAAGTCCATCCCACACAGTTTCAAGCATGGTCCCTCTGAGATTACTTACACCCTATTGCATTTAGGCACCGTTAGAGAGTAAGGCCGTGGAGCCCTCCAGCTTATAGGGGAAATCCTTTTCACCTAGGCGGTTCACTCCACGTATGCAGGAACCATATGTGTCTCATCCTGTGTTCTCTGCCCAGCAGGGTGTTTGGCACTGGACACCGAATAAAATGATCGTCAGTGGTGAAATGCAGGCTTCCACAGATATGCCTAGGCAGTGTACGCCATGTCTTTTTATTTGTAGTGCTGTGTTCAATAAAGTTTTATGTAGTTAAATTAGCCTTATGCTTTTCACAAATGTCTCCGGAGTATCCTTTCCTGCACAGGTATGCCTGTCTCTGCTATCACAGAGTTTGAGCACGGGATCAAATACCAGCTCCCTTTTTATCGCCCCTAAGTAACCGGGTCAGATGCTTTGCCTCTCGTTTGATCTGATTTTGTGCTAAAAACCTACATTATTTTCACCACTATTGACCGCATCCTGCCTTGGACAGGCTTCTTTTTCTTTGTATTTATTGATCAAGCAGCTTATCGGCTCTACAGACCATAGTAAGCATCTTCACTGACGCCCTTACCGTTGAGTGTCACAGACGTTCCAAGGCTATTTTTTCCACAGACTGTTCACCCAGGAATGCAATGGCTATTTCCTTACATGTCACTAAGATTCTAGCGGTGACAATCGCTTCAATGTTACTTCTGACTCAAGTTCTGCATCTTCTTCTTTTGATCTCTTTCTGTGTATGGAGGGGGGGCGGGGAGGGGTTGGAGACAGTGTTTCTCTGCACAGCCCTGGCTGTCCTGAAACTCACTCTGTGTACCTCGAACTCACAGAGATCCACCTGCCTCTGCCTCCCGAGTGCTGGGATTAAGGGAGTGCACCACCACCGCCTGGCTGTCTTTTTTTTTTTTTTTCTTTAAGGAAAAATGGGTTTCTAGACAGCAAATAAAAGCACATTTTAGAACCAGGTTTATGCAAATGTTCTGAACTAGTTCATGAGGTTGGCTAACGCCTTCACTAACACTGATTTCCTATCATTTCATATGTGCTTTTAAAATGAAACCAAATAAGAACTTGTGTTCTGTGAGCTGTGTGTACACATTCATTTAAACACACCCCTCCCCCTGCCCCAGTTTTGTGGATGAAATTAACGGTTTTGGTGAACATTTTACCACTGGGTTATATAGGGTTTTCTGGTTAAGGTCACCACAATGTGAGGAACTTTATTAAGGGGTCCCAGCATTAGGAAGGGCGAGAGCCACTGCTCTAGGATCTTGGACTTCTAGTAGTAGGTGTGTCTTTACTCATCAGGAATCCCTTAGAGAGCACCTGAGTTCGCTAAGAGCTAAAATGCTGTGATACATTGGTTTAAATGCTCTCCCAGATTGGGACTGTAAATTGCCTCCTGCTGTGGCTTGAATTTGAATGCCCCCACTGGTTCTTCTTTGTTGCTGTTGTTGTTGAACCCTTGGTCCCTGCTGGTGGCACTGTTTTTGGAGGCTGTGGAACCTTTAAGGAAGTGAGGCCTCAATGGCAGAAGGAGGTCACCAGGAACAGGTCTCTGAAGAACCCTCCCTTCTCTATTGCTGGGTTCACTGTGATAGGAGCTGACTCTGCCACTCAAGATGCCATGAATCAGCCGCCCCACCAGGTATACGGCCCCACGATAGATTGAAACCATAAAGTTAATTAATCTTCCCACCCTTGAGCTGCTTCTGGTCACTGTGGTCACAGAAAAGCAAATGACACACCGCCACAGGCTTGCCTTCTCCAACTGTGAAAACACAAACGTCTTTACCCATGTTGGCTCTGAGTTTCTATCTAGGACATTTTTATTGTGTAATCCAGGAGAGGCAAGGCCAGACGGCCTCTCTAACTGTGCAGAGTTTGAGCGGATTACTATTCTGAACACGGTGGGCTTGCAGTCCCCGGGCACCTCATGATTGACTGCCCCAGTTTCTCCACATCCCAACTCGACATGATATCATTATTATTTTAATTTGGATTTCCCTAAGCACTGATAGACACAAATGTCTCTTTATATCTGTATAAAGCCCTTGGGTTCCTGCTTCTGTGATGTCTATTTCTGTAACCTCTGTTTCTTTTATTATTTGGAATTCAAATTTGTTCATAGAAAGTTATATATATTTCATAAAATTGTTGGTTCCAGATGTTGCTATTTTTCCTACCACCTTCTCACCAATTTTTTTCTATTTACTTGTTTGTTTTTTCTATGATGCCCTTTTTTTAGATCCAAATGTTTAACTTCAATGAAGTTCTCTCTCTCTCTCTTTCTCTCTCTCTCTTTCTCTCTCTCTCTTTCTCTCTCTCTCTCTCTCTCTCTCTCTCTCTCTCTCTCACACACACACACACACACACACACACACACACACACACATTTTGTTTTTGTTTTTTTGAGACAGGGTTTCTCTGTGTAGCCCTTGCTGTCCTGGAACTAGTAGACCAGGCTGGCCTTGAATTTACAGATATCCACCTGCCTTTGCCTCTCAGGTACTGAGATTAAAGGTGTGTGCCACCACCCGGTGCTTCTCGGGCCCTCACGGGATCATTTTCTACTCCACCAGCCGAGCCATTTCTCTCTTTTTACCTACTAATGTTGTAGTACTGTATCAATAGCACAGTGAGAGCTTTGACCCACTGGGAATTTACTCATTATCTAATGTGAGGTAAGAAATCAATTGTATTTTTCTGCACATATTGATTTGTTTGGGTTTCTTTTTGCTTTATTTTGTAAGGCAGAGTCTCACTATGTATATCCAGCTGACCTGAAATTCTCTATATAGATCCATCTGGCTTGGAACTCAGAGAAATCTACCTGTTTCTACCTCCAGACAGTTGAGATCAAGGATGTGTGCCATCATGCCCAGCTCTACTTAAGTTGAATCAATTTTTTTTCTCAATATAATTTGTAAAACAACTCATGCTGGGCTGGAGAAATGGCTCAGTGGTTAAGAGCATTGCCTGCTCTTCTGAAGGTCCTGAGTTCAATTCCCGGCAACCACATGGTGGCTCACAACCATCTGTAATGAGGTCTGGTGCCCTCTTCTGGCCTGCAGACATACACACAGACAGAATATTGTATACATAATAAAAAAAAAAACAAAAATACTAAAAAAAAAAAAAAACTCATGCTTTCTCTGGTAATTTATGATAACTCTTTTCCAAGTCACTAGTTCTTTCACGAAACTGGTCTATTCTAGATTTTCTGTTGTTTTGTTTGTAAAATAACTGTGTTACTTTAATTATTTCACTTTGTAATGTATCTTAATTATCTAGCAAAAAAACTATCTCCTCTATTCATGGGACTTGATTCTTCCTTACAAAGCACAGAAGTCATGTGTGAAGTTCCCTTCCAGAATTGTACCAGACTCCTGTCTGGAATTGTCTTCCATCTGAGATAAATTGTGTGTGGATGGAGAACTGGTCTATTCATAATACCAGGTTAGTCGTCTCAAGATCATGGCTTATCTGTTTATTCACATTCTTTATATCCCTTAATAGTTCATTTTTTCCCTCTCTGTAGGTAAGATCAGATATCATAGAGCTCTGTCGCTACTTTGAGCCATTATCTTGTTTTTCTTTACATTCTCTGGCTCACTGTCACTGGTGAGGAAGGATTTTGGGTTCCTAAGCTATTCTAATCTCCTAAAAGCTTTCCTAAGAAGTTCAGCTAAGTAAAGTTAAAAATAAAATGATAAAGGCCAGGTAACTGATCATCCTCTGCACAGGAAATGTCCACAGTAGACAAATATTGAGACAGAAGGCTTCATGGTTGCCGAGAGCTGAGAAGGAAACCATGAAACATTGGCGTGCTGCTGGCTCTAGGGAAGCATGGCTTCTTTTCAGGGTGATCAGAGTCCTAAATATGACCGTGGTAACAGCTGCTGCACAAGCCCTGTGGACATTCTTTAGAACCACGCCATAGCAGGCCTTAAATAGGTGCATGAACACACACAGGCCACCATGCACCTGTGGTGGTCAGAGGACAACTTCTGGGAGTCAGTTCTGGGCATCAAACTTGGGTTGTCCAGCTCAGTGGCAGGCGTCTTTACCTGGTGTGACATCTCACCAGCCCTAATGCCAATATTTTGACATACAACGTTTTGAAGTTCAATTAAAGGTTATCGTAATTCCCCTTATGGTTTCCTTTTTAGACCTTTCGTCGATCATTTTTAAATTGGTCGATGATTTTTAAATTGGTATTATCATCCATGATCCTTTTATCTTTCTTTCTTTTCTTTTTTTAAGGGCTGGGGATCAAATAGAGAGCTTTGCCAGGCAGGTGAGCACTCTCCCACCGATTGGTAGTCCCAGTAACCCCTCTCGTGCTCTTGCTAGCTTCAAATTTCATCTTACCATAATCAGAAGACATCTATGCATATGATGTAGATTCTTTGTTTTTATTTTTTTATTGTACAGTGTGGCTTTATTCTTGTTTTTTTTTTTAATTGTTTTTATTGAGCTATGTGTTTTTCTCCATTCCCTTCCTTCCTCCCTTCCTACCCTC